CTTTGCTCGGTTCTGATCCAGCCGTCCTGCAAAAACAAACTTTAGATTGAAAACTCCATAATTACCAGATATCTAATAAGAAAGTTATTTTTTTAGTACTGGATTTATTGGGGAAGAAAATATTTTGAAATGAGTGCGAAATTCATCAAAACCCTTCTTCATCTCCGGATCACTAAGATAACTGAAAGTCATCACACTCCTCGTCACCATCGCCTTTTTTCCACTGTGTCTGAGACTGCCAGTTCAATATTAGTACAACTATCGTTTACAGCCTCACATATACATATTTCAGCGCTTGCGTAGTTGCAACCCATGGACTCTTACACTCTCCAGTTGCACAAGCACAGGAGATAAGCTCTGTCACATCATGTACAGCTTCCTGGAGTGTGACAACATGCTCTATTTTTTTTCCTTATTTCTTGCTTCTATATGAATCCGGAGTAGGACCACAAGGCCACCGCATGTATAATTGCTTGTTCAATTAGTCCATAAGTTTGCAGGACACTCCTCTGCTCCTGCTTGGGACAATATAAACATTCCTTATCGAAGACTTATGACACCAGTGAATTCGAACTTCGGTTGATAAAGCGTGCACACTTACTCTCCCAGGCCCCTTCTGATGGTCAGTCTGTTTTTGCTTTTTTCCCCAAACCGAATAAACAGAGGAGGAATTGCAGTAAAGAGACATGAGTTCTTGTTCCCAGCTACAACGGACGATTTATTTCCAAGGTCAGGGCAGCGATAGAAGCCCACACACACACACACACACACATCTGCATCCGGCAACGTAAAAAGCTCATCCCGACTCCCAAAGTAATCCAGCATTTATACAGACTACATGGTCCACCCCGCGTATACCTCTGTGGGTAATACAGGGTACAACACACCCGAAGCATCTCTCTCGCTTGAACTCTCGTCGCAACAACACTTCCCGCGCGTACTTACTACCCATCTACGTTCCTAAAGTACACATACAAAATACAACTCACGTCACTGCATGTTCAGAGCTTGCGTGATAGGTGGACCAGAAACACAGGCAGCATGTAACAAAAGAAATGTATCAGCCTCTGTCTCGTATGACTTGGCACCACTCCAACCTCTACCTGACTTGGCACCACATCAGCCTCTGTCTCGTATGACTTGGCACCACTCCAACCTCTGTCTCGTATGACTTGGCACCACTTCAACCTCTACCTGACTTGGCACCACATCAGCCTCTGTCTCGTATGACTTGGCACCACTCCAACCTCTGTCTCGTATGATTTGGCACCACTTCAACCTCTGTCTCGATGACTTGGCACCACTCCAACCTCTACCTGACTTGGCACCAGATCAGCCACTTTACTCGGGGTAAAATTTACTTAATATATGCTCCTATACTAATTGCCGAGATTACGTAACACACCATTTTTTTTCTTTTTCTTTTTTTGTGAAGAAAATCCATGATTTATTGCCTTCTAGTTAATGTTATGTTCATCAGTGCAATAATTCACGAAACACTGAGAATCAGAAGTGAAGAAAAGAGACATTGAAAAATATGGTTTGTAATAAGGAAAAAAAATGAAAGAAAGAATAACAAAATCAAAATAAAAGGAAGAAAAAGAAGAACACGAAAAAAAACAAAACAAAAGGAGAAGAAGAAAAAAAAGAACAGGATAAGAAAAAAGAAAAAAAGAAGAAGAAAAGGAGAGGAAAACAAAACAAGGAGAAGAAGAAGAAGAAAGACAAAAAGAAAAAAAAAGAAAAAGAAAGAAAGAAAGAAAGCAGAGGAAAGAAAAAGAAAAGATTAAAAATTAAAACTCTTGGTCAATAAAAATATCCTCGCGCATTCCAGAACCTTCTCCTTCGCCTGACCCGCTTTCGTCCGGCGGAAAGAAATCGGGAAAAGGAATGGAAGAAGGAGATGGAGGAGAGACGGAGGATTCCCCTGAAGATTCTTCCGAAGATTCTTCTGAGGATTCTTCTGAGGATTCTTCTGAGGATTCTTCTGAAGATTCTTCTGGGGATTCTTCTGAAGATTCTTCTGGGGATTCTTCTGATTCCTCTGAAGATTCTTCTGAGGATTCTTCTGATTCTTCCGAGGATTCTTCTGAAGAATCTTCTGATTCCTCTGAAGATTCTTCTGATTCTTCCGGAGATTCTTCCGAAGATTCTTCTGAGGATTCACCTGAGGTTTCACCTGAGGATTTCTCCGAGGATTCTTCTGAAGATTCTTCAGATTCTTCCGAGGATTCGCTTGAGGATTCTTCCGAAGACTCTTCTGAGGATTCTTCCGAGGATTCATCTGAGGTTTCACCTGAGGATTCACTTGAGGATTCTTCTGAAGATTCTTCTGAGGACTCTTCTGAGGATTCTTCGTCTCCGTTTTCTTCGCTTCCGTCGCCGTTTTCTTCGCTTCCATGCCCGCCACGGCACCCGAAATATTCTTGATCATGCCCTTCATGAACTCCATGATGCCCAAAATGATGAATATGATGACTCCCGGGACCTCCATGATGCC